TTAACCACCATATGCTCATGGGAACTATAGCCTCTAGCATATTGACGAGGCCATATTTTTGAGCAGTTTCAAGATGCTTCATCTCGAAAACAGCAACAATAACCATAGAAAGTGGAGAGAAAACCAGCCCAGTTCCAATTCTTTGAAGCATCATTATGCCTGATGGCTTCCCAGTTATAGCTCGTGCAAAAGGAACCAGAATGCGATCATAAATAGGAATTAAGATAACAGTTGAGAGGCTGATGAAAACTAGTAATGAAGCAGCTGGCACTTTAAAGTTTGGACCAATGGATTCGTCCATTGTAACTTCTTGCTCGGTGAATAAAGTGAATACTTGAGCATACACAATGGCGAATACTAAACATGTTGCCCATATTGGAAAGAGCCTGGGAATTCCCTTGTCCTCTCCAACTTTATTGGTACTACAAAAATCTTGGTCCAAACTACGGGGTGAAAGGGACTCTTTATCGAGCAACCTGCCAAAGAAGGAAAACGGAGAAAATAAGTCAAGAAATGTGTTATCTCTAGTGGACAAACTACTTAAGATAGTTGTTTCCCTTACTTGAATTCAGCTACTGATGTGCTAATACTCTGATTTCTGAATGTGTTACAAAACGCCAACCCAATTTTCACAGACAAGCTATTGTCATAACCTTTACTGTTAAACCTGTAAGTTTTTGTTCCAAGCAAAAATACTATCAATGCTAAGATCATGACGATGCAGGGTATTCCACACCCGAGACACCATCAAAGATTGTCTTCAATGTAGTTCAAAATCGAGATTGTTACAGTATTGATTGCAACTATCGTGAAATACCACCAGTGGAAGAATGAACTCTTGGCTTTTAACTCTTCGGGATTCCGAGAATCAAACTGATCAGCCCCAAATGCCTGAATGCAAGGCTTGTGTCCGCCTTGCACTATAGCAACCAGATACAACGACAAGTAGAAGATTATAATTTGGAGCCAGGAAGAACATGATTCCTTGGCATTGGCAGCATTTTGAGTGTAACACAGTAGAAAGAAGGCAAAATAGCTGAAATGGTCAAGAGGCGAAGTCCCTATCACCGTTTGAGCCCAAAGTAAAAGTCATTATGATTCCTGTACAATTCAGTTTATGGACTCGTTAATATTAAGAAAGAAAAACAAGTTAAGATTGTTATGGATTAAAACTACTGATTGAGAGCGTTACACAAAACAGAAAAGCAGTAGTACAAAAATGCACAATTGAATGGGTTCATTTTTATTCGAGGACTACCCTAATTTCCCAAGTTGAATGATTTCACGAAATTAATTATCTACTTAAATTTCCATAACAGAGAAATAAATTAAGGAGGAGAAGAAGAATTACTAACCAAAATTTATAGCGCAGAAGCAATTATAATAGTGCGGCATCGACCTATATATGAGTCAGCCACAAAAGCCCCCAAAAGTGGCAAAAGCGATGCCGTTCCATACCACACATTCAGGCTGGCAGCCCCATTTGCAGTTGATTGGCCCAATGGGCCAGTCAAGTATGTTATCAGATTCAAAGTTATCCCATAAAAGGCAAATCTCTCTGCCACTTCAACAGCTAACCAAAAAAAGATAATTAAAATAAAAATAAATTCTCAAATTCTAAAAGAAAAAACTGGTAGCAAGTGTTCGATAAATATAATATTTGACAAGTTAAATTGAATAAGATATCAAGATGTATACTCAAATCTCACAACAACGGCTCAGGCATTCCGACCAATGGCTAGGAGGTCATCTTCACTCTTTACCTTCCACCTAAGTCATGTAATAGAGGATCCAATTTGTTACTTTACAAAAGCCATACACATGCAATGCAAGACTAAATTGATGCTAAGCTCTTGTGATACTATGTAACATTAATCGAATCTAAAAAACGCATAACAAATAATATTTGGTTAAAAAAGATATTAAGTTCTAAGTTGAGGACGTATAAATTATGTAATCCAAAATTCACAAAATTGTGCGTCCCACAATTTATAAATTAATATAAGTTGGGATTTCTCAACTTATTTAACTTCATAAGCTAGTTGTTAGGATTCTAGATTGAATTATGATACATGTACAAACAGAAAATATGGGGTAAAATGATAAAACAATTAGCGGACGTGAAATTCAGTTTATTGTCCTTTTTTTGGATTTGTTTTGTGGATGAGAAACACTGAAACCCAACCCATTTCCCAGCTAAAAGTCCCGTTCGTCTTCCCCAAAAGCTCACCGGTCCAAGATTGTCTTCTCTGATAGATGAACACAACTGATTATCTAGTCGATTTATCCTCAGGTCGTACATTAGCATTAATCATCACACAATTTGTGGGACCCTTCTCAAAAGTTAAATGTCATTTTTAAGAGTTGCACTTCATGCTTAGAAAGTATTTTGCCAGACAAATTACAGACCACACACAATATATGGGGTGGGTGAGTATATTGTTTCAATATAAAATTCACATGGGACTCACCCGAGTTTTCTGGATTTGTTTTGTGGGATAAATTTTGTACGAACAAATTTTTCCCATTTTTAATTGTTCTTTTGCAAAACATGATCATAAACCAATGCCACCAGTGACGTGCCAACTCCCACCTACGGCCTACTGCCTTCCAAAAATAAAAAATTAGAGGACGGAGGAAAAAAAAAAACAAAAGAAAGAGCAGTGCTCTAAAAATGATAAAACATGACGAAGTAAGGAGGTCGAGCTTCGTCTTAAGCGTAAGACAACGTTATTCTTATTTCAATATTATTTTGATTTTTAAATTAATCTAAAAATTATTTAGTTAAGAGAAGGCATAAAAAGCACGACTAGGAGCCAAAAAAAAAAAAAAAAAAAAAAGAAAGAAAGAAAGAAAGGTCAGACTAGGCGTTTTTGCACCCACTTTGTGCCTAGGCAGCACTTAGACGCTACTTTTCAGAACACTAAAAAAGTATAATTAACTCTCAATTTAAAAACTCCACCGAGTATTTTAGTAGGGAGAAAAATGATGTTGTTTTGCTTCGAGCTTAAAAGATTACCTATAAGTAATATTTTACGATAAGAAAGTCATATTTTAAGATAAGAAAGTCAATTTTGCTATATGTACCGTTTGATTGACATTGTGTGAGGTGGCTAACATTTCTGTCCTTGATTTTAATAACATTTAAAATAATCAATATCACGGATGTTATAATACACAGTTTCATCAAAGATGATACCAAATAATACAAAAATAGCACAATTCTAAGAAGGTAATCATAAAACATAAATAAACTCTTTATCAAAAATAAGAAAAAGTAAGTTAATCAACATGTTTAGTCGAGCTTAAAGGGATATTTATTTATTTATTTCTATGTTTAGCCAAGCAAGAAGAGTGGTGAAGGATGGAGATCAGTATCTAATGAATTGAAGAAAAAAATAAGTTTTAAATGCAATCTGACGAGAACTTCAAAGAAGAGGAGTTGTTTACCCATGATGAGAAATGCTGATCTCCATCTACCGGAATTGAATCGATTGGATGGAAGGCCCTTGTAATCTACACAATCTTGAACACTAGCGTTTGAATTCAGCAATTGAATTTCTTCATCAGAAATGTCTGTAGAGATAGCCATATATCTATTTCTTATTTCAAAATGAAATTGGACAACCTTTAAGTGAAAGAGAGAGAGAATTTGCCTTCAAATAATAATTCATAAGTGTGATGTAAAGTCATCTCGCGATATCATTGGTCCACGTGCTATAGTCGTAGAGAACCGCCTAACTTTAGTGCTTGTTTGGTAGAAATTTTGTTAATTGATTTTTTGATCGTTAGAGATAAAGTGAGTCCTAATTGTGAGAGAAGAATTAAAAAATGATGGCCGAAATAGTGAAATAACGATAAAAAAAATTGATTTTAATTGAATTTTAAACTGTACCAAACATGCTCTTAAATTTGTTGATGCCAAACACAATATGAAAAGACGACTACATAACTCCAACCTTTTACATCACCTCTTTTAAAATTAAATTTTTTTCGCTTTCAGAATTAGAGGAAAAATCGAAGATATTTGAAAGATTTCAAATTTAAATGAAAATGAGTTGGAGACTAATGAAAAATATTTGATACGAGTTGATTTCACTAATAGTATTTAAATTGATCTCTGAAGTATTTTCCTCTATATTGCTCATCGGTTCACATGTTGTCACTCAATTGCTAAAATTGAAGTATAATTTGACGTTGTGTCTGAAAAAAATCTTCCAACATAAGTGGCCACTTTTATTGCGGGAGGGACAGAGATTCGTGAATCACAATTTCAGTGCAATGGCAGAGAACTTAATTACATGTGTACTTAACAGGTTTCACGTTAAGTTAAATTATAAATAGGCGACGAGTAGGGTAAGAAAAATATATAGTATTGGTTAACAAATTTCATTACTATTTTGCATCATGTTAATTATATTATGGACATTTTTAAAAATGTTCAATTTTAAGGGTATGAGTTGAAAAATGTCCACTCATTTGAATTTGAAATTTAGTACCAAGAATCTACATTTTGAAATTGTATTCTTAACATTTTAAATATCGTTCTCGACATTTGATTTTTTTATCAATTTATCACGAATTTTAAAAAGTGACTTCCATGAGAAGTTACATTAAAATAATGTTTCTCGATATTTAAACACCGTTTCATTTGTCTAGAATGACATTTCATTTTGAATATAACAATTCTCTACATTTAAAAATGTCGTTCTTGACATGACATTTCTGAATTAAGGAAAAACATAACATTTATTGTGATTTGACATGTATACTTTTTTGAAATAAATATTACAGATTACGTGTCAAAATTTTATTGGCCAATAACAATATTGCAAAAAGTCCATTTTTTTTGTTATTTTGGTCTAAATCCTTCCAAATTAGACATTTTTGGAATAGTGGACATTTTTGCAAATGACAAAATGAACATTTTGTGAAATTTACCCTTTTATTATTCTCAGCATCCAAACAATACCAAATATAGGTTATTTAACATGAAAAACTAAAATACAAGAGGAAACCTTCCACTGCTCAGTTTAAGCATTATCAGACTGAATTAAGATGCTGTCCGAGGTTTACGAGGTGCCAGGTAAGGGACATTAGCGTAACAACATTGAGTAAGGATGAAAATTGATTCAGCTGTGCCGCTTCCTCTCGACCTGCTGCATCACCGCTGGCCGACCCTTCTTTCCCTCTTCCTTCTTCCTTCTCCTTTTTCATTCTCTCCAACATCACCTGCGTTGCATTATTCCAAGTCCAAAGGTGTCAACTATTGTACTGTTGAGTCATTCAAAAACAGTAGCAACACATGCACCAATAAGCTGATTATTATAAATACAAACAACTCAATATCCAATAGTAATATCATGTACCTTACTGGATCGAGGCTCCAAGTAGAGAAAATTCACCAAAATCATCAACAAAGGTGCCCCGAGATTGAAACCTTGGACAATCTCCTGTCTCATTGAGGACCAACTTTTAGTCCGATATATAATGTGTCCTAGAACTGCCAGACCTACACTATATGTCATGGCCTTGAAATAAACTGGATAAATCTTGCTCTGCACCATCGCAAATTGCTGCCTAGGCAGTGCCCCTGCCAAAACAAAACTCGAAACAAATGTAAACCACATACACATTCCATAAGCAGTGGCTAAACCCAACAAACCTAAAATCCCCATCACCGGAGCCGCACTCACGAAAATGCCCCGTAGAACTTGATTCAACCCTTTCTCCCCCTCTTCTTTAACCCTTTCTGCACTATCCTTCACTTTCTCTGAGGCACTTCCCACAATTTTTCCTGCCTTTTTCGCGCTGTCGGGGACTTTTTCTTTTGCCGCATCTATTATTCTCGAGCCATTCCTCTCGATCTCACCTTGTAGATTCTTTGCAGTTTCAGCACCACCCCGTTTCGCCTTCTCCGTCGCCCCCCTCACTTCACTAGCCTTTTCATAAACTGTATCTTTCACATACTCTCTTGCTTCATGGGATTTATGAGTAACCCTATCTTTCAAACTACCAATAGCCTCTTTTGCTTCCTCCTCCACCTCGTGGACCGTCTCAGCCGCCTCGTGGGCCTTGTCGGAAAGGGTATCTTTAGTTTTTCCAATGGCGCTGACAATTTTATGCTTACACTTGCCATAAGCATCACACACAAGCTCTCTAGGACTAAATCCATGGTGAATTCCTTCTTCGTTTATTTTCTTCTTTGCATCCTCCATATTTTCAGACAATTTATCCTTAAAATTTGTAGTTTCTTGAGGAGAAATTGAAACTTTGGTATTTTTATCATCTTTTTCATACTCAACCACCACAACTCTATGCCCTTCTTTGACTATAACATCATCTTCTCTTGGATTGCGCTTTTGTGGGCTTGGAGAAAACACACCCGCTGTTACAAGTGTGGTCAGTACAAGACTTAAAGCCAAAACGTTCATCATTTTCGTTCTCTATAACTAATAATTTCTGTCTCTATAACTGGAAGATAGAAGTAAATTTGGGGATATGTAAGAAGTTGAAATGTGGCCACGTAGAGAACTGTAGGTTATGAATATGCAACACGTGTAATGATGCATGTTGTTGTAGAAATGTACGTGTCTACATTTTGGTTGTTCTTGTTCCTAGAGACAGTTTCACTCACAGTACCACGTTTGGACCATTTCTGTTGGGACCTAAATTTATCAAATTCTATCACTTAAAGAACGGCTTTCTTGATGTTTCAGGTTGATAGTATTGTTATTGAAAATATGAGTACCCTTTTAAACATAGTCCAGGTTTGTTAAGAATTAAAATTAAAATTTTAATTTTAATCAAAATCAATCATTGGTTTCAATCATAAATATTCATAAATTTTCGATGATATATTTCATCAATTTTTTTTTTCAAAATTTACAAAATCTCTAATTTCAATTCTCAATAAACATGGACTTAATTTGTTTTGCCCATTTATTATTTCAAAAAAATAAGCGTGCAATCTTTATAAAATATTGTGCGAAAATAATATTGTAATTGAGTTTTGACATGATAAGAGCGCTTAACATTCTGGTCTATATAAATACTCAAAATTTACTACTAATATGAAATATAACAATATAATAAAAAAAAATTAAAGTACGAATATTTGTAGATCACTTCGACACATGCATATAAATACATGCGAAGCTTACAACATTTTCAAGTTCACGCCTTTCACAAAAATAGAAAGAAAATACGATCTAAAATTCTTTAAAGACGAATTAGAGAATGAGATTCAAAAATATTCCTTTAATTTAGAGACACCCCCATTTTCTCACCATATTAGCACAATCTAGTCGAATCAAAGTTAACTAGAGTAAAAGTGACACCAGGTATCACACATATGATCGATCTTTGACCCAACTTTTAGAGTATGTTTAATTGACGTGGAAAATATCACTTAGAAAAGAAAATATTTTCTTTCTTTTGCGAAAAATAAAAATCACCTCCACCCAAGAAAAATGTTTTCCTTAAAAACAAGGAAAATTATGCATATTTTCAAAAGACGAAAAATGTTTTTCATGGAAAAAATTAATAATCAAACACTTCAAATAAAAATTTGGGTGAAAAATTAATATTTTTCATGAAAAATAAATATAATAAAAAACAACATTAAATTAATTGATTTCACTTCTCTCCTCCATGTAGTGGCATCAAAATGTAGAGGTGGCCCAAGATAACCCACCTCATTAAAAAATCAAATCGAAACTAAATTTGGTCCACAAATTATGATTGGTCCCCATGGATGATTCTGTAGTTCAGTTCTCCCTGAAGATTTAGAGGTCATGGCTGTGCCATTTTGGTGGTTCCAGTTTCTCCTCCTCCTTATCCCCCTATTGCGAACTCCATAAAATATCTGAAATTTTTGCACTCTCCATGCATTTTTCTGTTAGTAAATAAAGATGGGCACGGCAGTAAATCTTGCTGCAACCTATATTTTCCTTCCAACGCATTCTCCTTCAATTACTCTACCAAAACAGTACAATCCCATCTGCAGTTCACAAAAATTTTCCAAAATTTCTTCCTACAGTAAATTCAAGAATCCCATTAGTGTAATTAATGCCTCTACTGCTTCTGCGTCAACTGAAAAAAGGGTATTGAGTTTTGGTTCACTCTTAAAATTTGTTGTTTTCATATTTTATTTAAACAGATTGAATTGCCACTTTAAACTTTAGACATGTTGAATTGCTCGTTTAAGGTTTAGATTGATTGAATTGCTCGTTTGAGTTTTTGGACACTGATACCATATGTTAATCAGACTCATTGGTGCATCTTAAAAAATAAATGTTGTCAAGAGAAGTAGTGTAAGTTTTATATAATTATTATTCTTCTCATAACAGGAGGTGTTGTTGCCATTGGAAGTGAGTGAGATAAATGAAAAGTGCAAAAAATGGGTGTGGAAAGGTTACACCATTAACTATTTTGTTTACCCAGGAGGCAATAATGATTCTTCAAATCCGCCTCTTCTGCTAATTCACGGTTTTGGTGCCTCCATTGCTCATTGGCGCAGGTATTATTTTTAATGGGATTTTGTTGTATTAATCTTTTATTTTTCAGCTTTAACAACAGTATGTAGTTTATTTGTGCATATGCATCTATACGCTGTTAGCCTGTTTGATATATCAGGCTTGAGTAGGCAGAATTAACGAAGAAAAGATAGTTAGGAATAGTGCCCAAACATATAAAATTATTTTTCACTTGAAAAATTTCTCCCAAAAAATGCTAAACGTTTTGAAAAAACAACTTCGGAGAAGGAGAAATGGAGACCAGAAAAAAAATGGAAGAAAAAATTGAAGTATGAGGAGGCTTGAAACACATGATGTAATGTCGATATCCCCCCTTCCCCCTTCTTCTTGAGATATCTAATGAGATCTACTGGAAAATATTGCCAACAAATTACAATCCTTGCGGAGTTTGCACCAAACAAAGAAGTAAACTCATAAAGAAACATGGAACAATATAAGAATCTAGATTTTAGGTTTGTAAGCTTTGGAAGATGAATACTATCAACATATGTGATGTGAGACGATTTTGTACGAATGGATGTATTCCTTCATGAAAGAGTCATTTTTTTTAATGTCTGTATTCAAATAATCAATTGAATCTCCGACGACTAATTCATTTGAGCAAACATCTACTCACTTGAGTATACAGAAGTAAGGTATTTTGCCTTCTATTCTAGCTTTTGGAGAACTAATTTTGGTTGGTTTAAAAAAATTCATCCAAAACATGTCCACCAAAGCTGTGGTTTTTGACAGTCTTCAACCCACATTGTTTAAAACTAATGGAGGTCATCTTAAGAAGTAAAGAATAATTTACAAGAGAAAAAACCTATACGTAAAAAGAATTTCTTATAAATGAGAAATACAATAATTAAAAAAATTTACTTATAGACCAAAAAATTTCTTATAACACAAAAAGTCATTTTTATGTATAAATTGCTTATTAAGTGAAAAAATATAACTAATAAGACTTAGTCCTTGTTTGGTAAGGATTAAACTTTGGATTTGAATTTAAGTCAAAGTCAACAATTACTTTTAATTATACATTGAATACACTTGTGTCAATGATCCTGCTTTTATTTGATCTTTAATTCTAATTTTTAAGGCAACGCCACAAACTTTGGACTTCCTTGACTTATAAATTTTCTGATCTATTTTGGTAGTCGCAATCAAAATTTTTCTGGACTGATTAACATTATTTCCAAATGCATTATGTTCATATAGCGCAGTTCTATTCCAACAATCATCTTTTCCAATTTAAAAATCAATAACAAGTCGTGCTTTTGAAATCATTAGTTCCCATTCCTAATAAATAAGTGTTGTTTTTAAGATTTTATCCATGTCTCTCTTTTTTTTAGGCCATCCAATGTTAATACAGGTACAACTTTGTTAAAAAGAACGTCGTTGTACACTAGGATTCCACTGTTAGACTTAATTTGTGAATCTAAACTAAAAAAATTCTTTTAAGCTATCCTTCGTTAATTGTTGCCTTGTCTAGTTGATTTAATTTACCAACTTCTCCACCAATGTGAAATATGATTCTTTTAAGGAAGTTACCTAATGCTACTAGTACGAGTGAAAGTTTTGTGATGTATTGGTGTTTTAACCAACAACTAAATCCTACTTTTCTGCCTTTGAGGCCATTTTAGGAATATTCCGACTCTGGCTCAAAGTTATACAGTTTACGCCATTGACCTCCTTGGTTTTGGTGCTTCAGATAAGCCAGCGGGCTTTGCATATTCCATGGAAGTATGGGCTGAGGTAAACAAATGATATCAACCATTTTCTTTATGAAGGATTTCTACTCAACTAGTTATTCACTATACGAAGCCTTCTGTTATTCAATATTATAATGTGGACAGATGATATTGGACTTCTTAGACGAAATTGTTCAAAGGCCGGCGATACTAATGGGGAACTCTGTTGGAAGTCTTGCTTGCGTAATTGCCGCTGCAGGTATGTATTAATCTGCTACATCCAGCCAAACAATGATCCACTCTTTTGTAAAACATTTAGAGTACGTTGGTGTGCTATATATTGGATAGAACTCGACTCTTAGTGCTACCAATCCTCCCTATCAGATATGCCTTTGCTGACAACTACTTAGCTCTAATTGATGTTGGCTCGGTTGTGCTTTTTACCTTTTCATTCCTAACAGAGTCTACTAGGACCCTAGTTCGAGGGCTCGTTCTGTTAAATTGTGCTGGCGGCATGAACAACAAGGCGATTGTTGATGACTGGAGGATAAAGCTACTGTTACCTTTGCTTTGGTTTGTCGACTTCTTATTGAAGCAAAAAGGGATTGCATCGTATTTGTTTGATCGTGTTAGACAAAGGTACTGCTTAAGTATGTTTTTGTTATCATCACATAAGAGGATCGTGCTTGCTGGGTAAGGTTTCAAGTGCTTATAAGCAAGGAGTCCCAAAGAATGTGTGGTTAAAAAGTAAAAGTTGTGTTATATGTGGATTAAAAACAAAAAAACAAAAAAAACTTACCAGCTTATAAGCAATTATAACAAGTTTATGTCAATTGTACAGAGACAGTCTGAGGAACATCTTGTCATCCGTCTATGGCAATAAGGATAATGTCGATGAGGGTCTTGTGGATGTACGACTAAATTCTGAATAAATTTTACCCGCCCTGTACAGTTTCTCTATTTGATACTCCATTTGTTTTCCTTATCTTTAAATGCAGATTATTAAGAAACCAGCAGAAGATGAAGGGGCTCTTGATGCTTTTGTTTCCATTGTAACTGGCCCCCCTGGGCCGAATCCAATGCAATTAATTCCGAAAATCAACTTACCTGTCCTCGTGTTATGGGGTGATCAAGATCCATTTACACCGATTGATGGACCTGTTGGTAAATACTTCTCGTCGTTGCCTTCTCGACTGCCAAATGTGAACCTCTTTTTGTTGGAAGGCGTTGGTCATTGCCCTCATGATGACAGGCCTGACTTAGTGCACGAGAATTTGCTTCCTTGGCTAGCCAATCTCCCCGCATCTTAAAACTTGACAACATACTTCCAATTGATTTTGCAATTGTATTTATATTCTGTTCTGTTTGCTTTAGAATGAGAATCGGTAGTGTTGAAGTCCCTTATGTTTATAACAGTTCTCGTAACATGATAGAGTGCAAATTTCCTGGGGGGTACAGTTGTGATTTTGGCCTATGGTGGTCAATTGTTATAATATTGCAACTTGAATGTGGTGTTTTCTCGGAGACACTGGAGAACTGTGCTGTTTCATTTGCAAGAGGGTTCAATTTAACTATTGATATCTTCTGAGCTGCACATCTTAAAGGCTTCGTGGTTTATTTAATTTGTAAGTTTCCTTTTGCCTGCTATTGAGCCTTCACAAAATCGGTTCATTAATTTGCCTTATGTTGACAATCTTGCCGTGATCTTGTTGAAAGGCAATACCTTTCATATTTCTTTGTGGGATGTAATGGTTGGATGAGTTTTGCGTGTCAAGAATTTGTTGATTCTTGGCCAGCAAGGATTCAAAACAGAATGAACAAAATGACTATATAGGATGGTGTCACATGGGGCTGTCGAAGAATTTATGGCATTGAGGTTTCACCTTTTAGTACAACAGCAATTAGATTGCATCAAATGAGGACTGAAATGAGCTGAGTAGCTAGCTAGAATTCGACCTTGCCATGTTGCCTACAAGCCAACATCTATAACCCATCCCCGCCTTATACAACGTGCAATGTCGTCATCAAGTAAATAAACATTGCTTGCCTCATGTCAGTGCCAAAAGCGCACACCACAAGTGCATTGCCTCGGCCAACATACTGACATAGAGGTCCATGACCGAACCTTCGAATTATATAAATCACCAAAATAATAGTAATTTAATTCCCTATAATTACATCCTCTTGATTGACGTGGAATAATTAATGTAGAGCCAAAATGAAACATCTCGGCATATCTTTAAATATAAATATCAAAGCTGAAAAACACAAAGAAACATAAGCACAACATTCAGATTGTGATATTGTTTGGCCAAAATTTCAGCATCACTTTGCTTCTATCTCCTTCACATTCATTTTTTCGTAGATCGACTCTTATCTTTACCACTGCTTGGTTTTTGTCTCTTGCGCTTACGGTTTTACACTTTTTCATGGGGATTAACATCCTGAAATTAGATATGTTTGATGCTCACACCAGCTCTCTTTACCACCTGTCCATAAGTAGCCAAAACGTGAGCTACATGTGCTAAAATGAAACATAGAGCATGCCAGGTTAAAGCTTGAAAGTAAGAAAATTTTGTCTACAAACATATCCTTTGATTAAAAATTTTGTCTACAAACATATCCTTTGATTAACTTAATTTTTAAGTAAAAAGAGTTATTTCCAACTTTGACCAACGATAAGTACTTTATTTTCATCTTCGTTTCAATTAAAAACCACTCATGGTGGCATATTTTATTTAGAACAACTAAGTAAAAGTGCAAACTTACAAGTGAACATTTTACGCTTAGCCAAACATACTCTTAATTTTCTCAACAGCTCCATTCTGTGAACTAAAAGCTCTTTTTATATTCAACATTGATAGATGCAAGTGACCATAGGAGAATGAATGCAATAAGATTTAGAGAAGAAAACTTGGAAAAGAAAAGAAGACAAATGTTCTAAAAGTGAATCTCAGGACGAATAAGAGCTCCAACTGCTATGACAGGATTAAATTCAGGTCCAATTGACGTCCGAATACTCTGTTCAAAAACTTCCTTCGATGTGTAGGGATAAGGCAGGTCCAACTGCAAGTTTTGAGCAAATCCCACCATATTAGTTTGGGTCTGGTCACTAGGACCAAGTCTTGATGGCAAAAAATTCCTTGGCTGAAGATTTTGTTCGCCTCTCACATATTTAATCTTCATTACCTCTTCTATAATGGTACCAATTTTTGTCATTACTTTCTTTAAGTTTAGATGATACTTTCAGTAGATAGCATGTTTACAGAATGATTTTAAGGTTTTGAAAGGAGACGATCCGATATACAAGACTCAAGGACATATTTTGCATAACTGAAATCCACATGAATCTAAACACTTTGAAGAGGTTGCACAGGATTATCTTGGGGATCTTATTGATAGAAATCTTATTTTGGTTCATAAAAAATGGTCTATTAATGGAAAAGTTAAAGCCTGCATCATGCATTGTCTTCTGAGGGACCTCTGTGTGAGGATAGCTCAGGAAAGGAAATTCTCTATGTGAAGAAAAGGTATCTACGCGTCTTTTCTAAAATGGAAACTTTGCCGCAAAGTATGAGTATTCACTTTTCTGTGCTTGTATATATAATACTGGTCAGAATGATACTCATTTGTATTCTAATTATTATTTTGGTTGTCGACTGCTAAGGTTATTAGATATGGTTGAAATAGAGCTTAAAAGTTTCCTGATGAAATACTTGAAATAGTTAATTTCAAGTACATAGCTGTCACATATCAAAATGAAATTCCTCTTCCTATTGCCTTAAGAATCTACGGTCTTTAGTTGTTGAAGACCCTTGGGAATTACAATTCACTTACCAGAGAATTTTTAATATGGCCCAGTTGGGGCATCTCAAACTCTTTCGAGTTTCGCTGCTTCCTGGTTCCTCTTCCCCATTAACAAATAGTCTCAACATCGATTGTTTATTTGGATTTTACCTATTTAATCAAGGATTATCTTTGGGCTTGGAACTCGGCCCATCATGTCCACTTGGCCCATTCAATTCTTTATATAAATGTGTGTTCATTCCATAATATGATTTTTTTTTTTTTAATCTTAACCAAATCCCCTATTTGGTCTCTTGCACCTCTTATATTTTCGTCCGACCATTAACTTGATCGTCAAAATTCAAATAGTCATCGGATTGTTTTTTCTTTGGATGACCTTTGCCTTCTATAGAGGTGTTCAGTTAGCAAATTATGCTCAGTGGAGAGGATGAGGTCAGATTCTATTGACACATTTTTCTTTGGGGTAAATATGAAATGATTTTGAGCAGGTAACACAAGAAAGAAATAATTATGTCTTAATTGGGAGTCAGTGAGGAAGAATACAAACGTTGAAAAAGAGGGCAATAAATTTGCTGCTTTCATTTGCAGATGTTGAGCTGGTTTTCTGTGTTTCGTTCCCCAAATTTTCTTCTCACTACATTTAATTTATATATAGAGCCACCCCTTTCCACTACTCTCCACCACCACCTACTACTAATTCCTTTATCGCTCCTCAGAATTCAGTCTTTTTGGTGATATTCAAGAAAATAAAATCTGGGCTTTTTTCGAAATTAAGTCCTTTTGGCGATTCTCAAGAAAATAAAATTTGGCTTTGTTAAATATCCAGTCTTTTTTGGTGATAAGAGAAGAAAGTGAAAACCAGGGCTTTGCTCAAATCCAGTAATTTGTTAAAGATGGGGAATAAATTTATTTGCATGACGAAGAAAGAAAGTAAGAATGTTGGGATTGGATCGAAAAGCAAACGGGGGTCAATGTCAAGGAGAAGGAGTTCAATGGAAGAAGAATTGCTTCATCGGCAGGCACTGGCTATGGCAATTCAGCAACACCAATTGTCCCAAAGATTTGATAACAGTAATGGATCCATGTCACGGCGGATTGGATCCACCAGCTCCCGCCGCCGCGCCACCAATTGTTCCGACCACTTTTCAAATACTAATACCAAACAGGTTTTTTCCTTATATACTGCTATTATGTTTGCTTTATACTTTGCAGCAATTAGCTTTAAGTAATAGTATATGTTTGTATTTGTGTAGAGTATTTCTTCGTGCGTTTTGGTGGAGTAATGATTAGTATCCGTAGGGGGAAAAGTTGGGTTTTTTGGTATTATTTTATTATCTATTTAGTTTGTGATCATGTCGCTTAAGTTAGCTCTGAAAATTTTTGTGTTTGAAAAGGGAGGTCAAGGTTCATTATGGTTTGAAAAAGGTGAGAAGAAAAATTTGGGGCGATAGATCTTTTTCTTCCTTTATTTTAGTAAGTCTTTCGGAGAGCTTTTTGTGTGGGTGTTCTTTATTTACTTTTATTGATGTTTAATGCATATTCTTTTGTGGGTTTCGTGTAGGTTTAAAGAAGAATGAATAGTAGCATAATTTCTCCCCTTGAATATAACAAAAGATAGAAAGTATTTTAGGCCCCGTTTGGGAGGGATTTTGAGAGTTGATTTTTTGATCGTTAAAAGAAAAGTGGGGTCCACCTGTGAGAGAATAAATCAAAAATTACGGCTGAAATAATGAAATAACGGTCAAAAATTCAATTTTTTGGGGTAAAATATCCCTCCCAAACAGACTGTTAATTCTTGTTGGCAACCAAAGAAAACTTAATTTGATAACGGCAAAGTAAATTCATTTTTCACATATTCTTTATCTCCTGAAGTTGTTAGCTGCGAAAAATCCTTGTTTGCATTTTGTCCTTCTCCCTAGAAGTAATTGATTGGTAATTATTTAGATGTGTATAAGGTGTTTACGTGACTTGTTATGGTGCATCTAAACATATCTTTGAGGCTTATGAGAGTCATAATCATGATCCATAGAACATTAGTATGATTGTAAATGATGCTTAATTATTCATTTTATTTGTACGCTAAATAGGCTTTGCAAGTAATGAGTCACTGTGTTCCTTTTCTCCAAACAATATTTTCCGTCCCCTCCCCCCAGTCACGTTTTTGTTAACTGAAATACATGTTTTATTAGTTACCAGATTATTTGGAGAATATCGAAACAAAGAAATTTGTTTTTATACATGGAGAAGGATTTGGAGCATGGTGTTGGTATAAAACTATTGTGCTGCTCGAGGAAGCAGGATTACTACCGATTGCCTTGGATCTAACAGGATCTGGCATTGATCTAAAAGACACTAACAACATCACTACTCTAACAGACTACTCAAAACCATTGATTCAATATCTGCAAAATTTACCAGAAGATGAAAAGGTATTTGATGATCATGAAAGGTATGTTAGGCTAAGGTTAGAAAAAGTAAAAGTTACTTCGAAACATGTTTGAATAAATTATTGTTTTTGAATGTAACTCTTTATCTTAATGTGAAAATAAATAACTTCTTTATTTCCAACTTTGACCAATAAAAAATTATTTATTATAAAACATACTTATTTTACTTATAATTGAACTTTTTAAGCTAAGACAAACATGCTTACAGCTTAAAAATCACTCCCCCATTATTTTTCGTAGGCCCTATTATTATAATGTTTCTCTCTGCAGGTAATATTGGTTGGTCATAGACTCATAGCAGTGGAGGAGCTTGCTCCTATGCCTTGGAGCATTTCCCTCAGAAGATCTCAAAAGCTGTGTTCCTTTGT